GCATTTTGTTCGGAAAAGCAAGGTGTACGAACAATTTTGTGAGTAACCGTATATATTTTTATTTTTGTTCTTCATTTTAATTAAACATCTGATTTGTATTCCGGTGGTAAACTGGTCAATCGCATCCAAATCACAGTCGTTTAAAACATTTTCGGAACCATTGAATTCAACCGTATCACCAATGACCCCTTCTAGTGTGTGGAGTTCGGGCGGATTGAAAAATAAAACTGAAACAGTCATTGCATTGAGTAATGATGTTCAGAACAAAGAAACGGACGATGGTGATAAATCATATTTGATAAACAAACGAACTACACAAACAATTGATCCACTCTACCAACTTTCATATCACACACGCACACCAACAGATGAATATTCAAATCTTGGAAAATTTGCCGAAATGACTTCGGGTAGAGCGATTTCAATTGTAGATTTTATGAAGTTCAATGAAGTGTTTTTTCTTTTTTTATGTAGGAACAATTTTTTTGAGTAATTGAATATCGAAAAACTGCTATAAAATGGAACAACTCAAATCTTGGTCAAAAAACGTATTTTTCACAAATCAAAAAAAATTTTCGAATGAAGAATGGTTCCACCAACACTTACACACTGTTTATAATCGACTATCCACCATGTAATAAATAAAGTAGATTGTTAAATTTGCAGTGGATTCCTTTTAGCTGAAGAAAGAAATGTCGTTGTTTTTATCAATGGTTTTACACTCAATAAATGATAATATTCAAGATATCCACGGAAAAATCTGCAAAACCGGAACAAAATCCAGAACACAAATCAACACTGACCATATGACCGCATAAACGCTTCAAAGCAAACTGATTTGCTAACGAATCACAGAGCGCTCACGCATTGTTCGTTTCACTGTGACGATCATCGTTCCATTGCTTTGTTTGGCATACGTGACTATGCCAATACGTGTTAGTTAGTACCTAGAAGTGTGTCTTTCTTGTTGTCGTATGATCGCAAAACACCAGCATACGCCGTGCACACACTTATTCAAAAAGACAATTTGAACAGAAGAAACGATGATCTAATTAGCAAACACGTGAAGCCGGTTCACCAAATGACCAACAGTACAATAAACACAGCCGTCTTCATTCTCGATCGATTTTTTTTGTCTTCTGAATTTATTCTTTGCATGGTGAAAAAAAAATTTGAATCAACTTCTTTCGTTTGGATTGTTTGAATTTAATTATAGCCCCTTTAGCGTGGTGCCTTTTCTTTAATTGGCTTAAATTCATGTTCGCATACAACAATTTGTACATGAAGTAAAATTGCTGATGCGAAATTTCATAATTTAATAGATTTCTGTGAATTTCGTTGCTCTTACCTTGTTTTGCCTGCCAAACTGGCCCAGGTGAAAATATTTTAAGGGAAAAAAACATTCGGTGACTGTTATATTCGAGTGACAGCTGAGAGAGGAAAAAAATACCAACAAATGGAGAAAATATGACAGTGCAAAAAAAAATTCATCGCAATTTACATATTCAAAGGCAAAAAAAAGACAAAATTGTTTTGATTGTTTGGTTTCATAATAATTTAATCACTATAATCTGTTTCATCGATGCTTCTTTCGTTTTAAATTTGTACAATAAAATTTGCAAGAGAAAATTATAACTAAATACAAACGAGATAGATTGGGGACGAAATATAGTAGGTAGTAGTACATAAATAAGGCGTTGAAATTAATAAACGAAAGAAGAAAAAAAATAAATGAATCTCACGGTTGAAATGTAACGCATAACATAAATTGACGAAACTATGAGATCAAATTAATTAATAACACTTCAATTATGTTTTGACTTTTGGCAGCAAGTTAACTACCACATTACATGCTCTCCAATTAATCACAAAATGTGAAGAGAGAATTAGAAACGAAAAAAAAACTTGAAATAATTACACATTTCCTTCAATAGCGCAACACTTTAACTGGGTTTTGTTCGAGCATGCATAATGTTTTTTTTTGGTTGGAAATGACAGAATTTATTTACGCGCAAATAGGAGAAAACATTCACCGTTCTGATGTAAACATGTAAACATGAGATTGTCAACATTTTCGAAACATACTCCCTTGAATGGAAACACTTTGCATCGAATAAATATCTTTTTAATTTGAATTTTGGTAAATTGAAACTGATTAACTTTATTTGTTCAAATGAATAATATTTAACGAAGAGATATCTCTTTTTTGCTTCTGTTAATCTTGGTGTAATAGCCGAGTTTAACAAGATCGTCAACAACGTCATTCGTCCATGTTCCCACTAAGAATAGAAATTGGATCAAAATTCGAATTAGATCATGGGAATGAATAATTTGAATTGATTTTGATTGAATTACAGTATTTTCAGAGGTAAAGAGTCGCACTAAGTGTGCGGTGTGATTACCCGTGTGCAAATAAAATGACTAACAGTCACTCAGTTGTATGTAACTGTATGTAGTGATGCACAACTAAAACTGGCTAAGTTGATTGAAATCATGCGTTTTGTATGGAGACAATCACGTTTAGTTATTCTTTCAGTCAGTCGACTAATTTGGGACATTTTGACTAAGAGTGATTTGTGATTAAAGTTAACTGCAGTTGCTTATTTTGTTCGAGACAATCACTTTTAGTCAGTCAAAATGTCCCAAATTAATCGACTGAGTAGTCAGTCAAAAATTTTCCACACGGGCAGCGCACAGCACACACACGAAAAATGAAAATAAAAAAACATTTTACAGTATTTTCAATATAAATTTCTGGTTTTTTACCATGTCATTTAGCTGAGGGATGAAGATCTTTGTAAAAAGGAGACTAGAGACTCAATCGATTTGGAACATACGTTTAACAGTGATTCCACCCTTTTTGTTCGATGATACGAAAGAGTGTATTGGATGACGTTGTTTAAACGCGTTATTGTTCAAACACGATTTCAAAAGAGATGAATTTTTGGGTGTTTGTACAATGATATACCTGTCACTGGATTCGGTGGACGGTACAGATGTAGATCCAGTTTCAACTGATGAATCTGACGATGACGAAGCACAGCCTATGAACAAACAAGCAACATAATTTACATAAAGATTTAAAATATCGAAAGTCAAAGAAAAACTTACGCGGTTTGACAACACCGTCTTGAACAAAATCGCGTTTCTCGCAAAACGCCTTCGCTGTCTGTTCATCTACGAATTCCAATGCACCGCTATTCTTTCCTGATTTTGGGTCATATTTAATTGTCACCTCACACTAAATTGATGAAATCGAAAATAAATTGATGAAATCGAAAATAAACAACAATAAAAGGTGCGTTGCCAAAATGTCAATCAATCGAAAAAGTCATTTACCTCATATCCTTCTTCATTCAACCGCTTGGACATACTTTCGGCGGTGATTTCTTTACGTTGAATCTCAATGAACACTGTTTCACGATACTGTGCAGTAAAGCTCCATCTTGAGAATAAAAAAAAAACACATAGTTAACAATTCTTCCTTTCGTTTATGTTTTTGAGCGAAAATGTTCAACTAACCCGTCCTGCCCTGATGAAGTCCCTTGGTCGCTTTCATTTTTCTTCCCATCAGATTTTTCATTTGGTTGTTCCATTTTGCTCGCACAAATTTCTTTATATTTTCTTGTTTTTAGCTTTTATCTTCTCGTATCGCTGCTTCAACACTAAATTCGAGAAATGTATCTGTCAAAATATAGACGAACCCTATCGGAAGACACACAGACATCAAATCTTCACAGCCATCTACACACACGAATGAACAACATACAATGTATGGTTGTGTATTCCAAATCATACGACATTGTAAGACTCTGTATGTGAGCAAAGACAGCAACCATTTGAATTTGCTAGAGGTGTTTTGGTGCATTGACAGTTGTTATTGTTGTTGTTGCCGTTGCTTGTTTTTGACTCGATAAATTTTTCGACGTAGATCATATTGAAAAACAAGAATAATACAAAATACAATTCTTATCTTCGTCACTCTATTTTTGTCATTTAATTTCTTGTTATACGTCATATAGATCTGCACACGACCGCACAGTTTGCAGAAATTTCAGCTAAAAAATCAATTGGCATGTAAATTTTAAGTGTGAAAAAGCAATTTGTGCTGGAAAAAAGGAAGAAAAGAAGAAACATCAACCGATATTTATTTAGTAAAGTGCAAAAAAAACCAAATTAATATTTAATAATGGCATTCTCATTGAGGACCAATCAAATTCTAGTTAAATCTGTGCGAAATGGCTATATAAGGAAGGTGTGACAACGTCTTGATTTTTTTCAAACAAGTTTGAATGTCATTGTTTGATAATAATTTTTTTTCTTGATTGGTTAGATTTTGGCATGTAACTTCGCAACGATTCGACCGGGCAACAGGAAGATTTTCGGAAGTGCTGAAGATGCCGTTATGGATATTCCTGATGGATCGAAACTGCTGGTGGGTGGTTTTGGATTGTGCGGAATTCCAGAAAATTTAATTGGTGCTATGCTCAAGCAAGGAGCAAAAGATTTGACAGTTGTTTCAAATAATGCTGGTGAGTGATGAGCTGGAATTGTTGATCAAGTGACAGTTTGCAAACAAAAATTGTTTGTGTTTTAGGTGTTGACAATTTTGGATTGGGACTTTTATTGAAAAATCATCAGGTTAAACGAATGATATCGTCGTATGTCGGTGAAAATGCAGAGTTTGAAAAGCAATATTTGATCGGTCAATTAGAATTAGAATTAACACCACAAGGAACACTTGCTGAACGGATTCGGGCTGGCGGTGCTGGAATTCCGGCATTCTTCACACCAACTGCCTACGGAACACTTGTCCATGAAGGTGGCTCGCCGATCAAGTACAAAGAGGACGGAAATGTTGAAATTACCAGTGGCAAACGTCAAGAGCAGATGTTCAATGGGATTTCATACATTATGGAAGAGGCCATCGTTGGTGACTATGCCCTCATCAAAGCACAAAAAGCCGATGAATTGGGAAATTTAGTGTTCAGCAAATCAGCCAGAAATTTCAATCCAACTATGTGCCGTGCAGCTAAATGTACTATAGTCGAAGTAGAAGAAATCGTACCAGCGGGATCGATTGATCCAGAACAAGTGCACATACCTAGCATTTTTGTACATCGAATCATTCAGGGAGGCAATTATGAAAAACGCATCGAACGACTCAAAATAACATCCGCATCGACGGGTGCCAGCGGCGAACTATCGGGCGCCGAAAAAATGCGTGAACGAATCGTACGACGAGCAGCACTTGAATTCGAGGATGGTTCATACGTTAACTTAGGTATAGGCATACCGATGTTAGCTTCGAATTATATTCAAGATAAAGACGTAATGTTGCAATCAGAGAACGGAATACTTGGCCTGGGGCCATTCCCGACGAAGGATCAGGTTTGTTTGATGTTTAATTGAATGTTTGGTTGAAAATTACGGTTAATTGTGTCTTTTTGTTTTTTTTTTTTTCAATCAAAATTATCGACTCTTCTGTGCTCTCTCGTCAGGTCGATCCCGAATTGATAAACGCCGGAAAAGAAACTGTGACCATTTTGCCAGGAGGATCATATTTCAGTTCAGATGATAGTTTTGCTATGATTCGAGGCGGTCATATCGATGTTTCGGTGCTGGGTGCCATGGAGGTATCACAATACGGAGATCTGGCCAACTGGATGATTCCCGTATGTTGAGCAACCAACTTACTTTATTTATTGAATGAAATTCATTTGATCTGAAGTCCGAAAATTTAATTCTTTTAATTTTTTGTTTGATTTTATAGGGAAAATTAGTCAAGGGTAATTATAAAAAATTTCCTCAATGAAATACAAAAATAAACAAATACTAAACGCTGATGTTGATGTTGTTGCTGTAGGTATGGGTGGAGCCATGGATCTAGTGGCTGCTCCCGGCACAAAGGTCATCATCACAATGGAACATAACTCGAAAGACGGTGGCCACAAAATCCTAGGCAAATGCAATTTACCTTTGACTGGCAAAAATTGCGTTGACATGATCATAACGGAAAAGGTGCGTTGGAATATCTCAACAGAATTATTTGTAATTCTCAGCAATGTATCCACAACTATTTATCATGTATTTCTTTTCATTCAGGGTGTATTCGAAGTAGACAAAGAGGCTGGTCTAACGCTAATCGAAATCGCCGAAGATTTTCAAATCGAGGATATAATCGCCAGTACGGGATGTGAATTTGCTGTATCAGAAGATCTGAAACCGATGAGGCAATCATAATGTTAACAGCCATATTTTTCGTCAAAAAAAAACACATAAAAAATGTCAAAAGATCAAATGCTATTGCATTTATTTAAATATTGAATGTTCTTTTTTCTATCGAATAAAATTATTTGTTTAAAAAATACATTAATTTAAATGTGTTGTTGTTTTTCTTACGCTTTACGCTTATTAACTATGCAATCAATATCTGTTTTATTGCTTTTTTGTTTCATGCGAATTCATTGCAACTATTGGCCAAGTATTAAACGATTCTAAGCGAGCTTACAATGCAAATACAATGGCATCTGTGGATTATTTTTCATCCATTCACCGATATACACGTGCAACCGATTGCATGTAATTTACTGTGTGTGTTTGCTTTCTCTCTCTTTGCAATGAAACGAAAAAGCGCAATCTTCAAAACGTGTACATTTATGTGCTAACCCGTATGCTGTAATTGTTAAGTGAGTCACTGGAATTTGTGGAGAGTCTCTTCGCTTATTATTTCATCGATCACACTAGTATATTCTAGAGACATTCTTTAAATGCAATCGCCAATTTTCCATCCGTTTGTCCTGCAACTTGCTGACCTGATCCATTTGCTTTTTATTCCGGCAAATGGCACAAAACTGTGATGTGATAATGTGCAATGGGCTGCGATAATAGAAACTTTCGTCTGTATTTTGTGAGTTCTTTTTGTGTGCCCAAACATGCAGAAAGATTTCAATAATTTCGATGACCGGTGCACAGAGGCGGAAAAATAGGAAGAAGCTTGGTAACAAAAACAGACGATGACTGGTCTTGTTGCAACCCAAAATTATATCCTGCAAATAGAATCAATTGAATATTACTACCCATGAGAGGCAAAAAAATGCCATTACGTGTACCACATTATGCGAAAAAAAGCCATACCTCTTGCAAACCGATGACTTCTTCCTTTTTGAACAGAGTGTAGTTTTCGTGTGCATCCATGCAACACAGTTTGGTAGCTTCATGCTTTGGCGGTTGAATCAATTCCTTTGGTATGACAAACGGTGTTTTTCGTATTGGACGTGTGAAAATATTTGAATCGAATTCGCCCGTTTCCATATCAATATCGTAGGCATCCAATGGTTCAAAATGCCCAGCCCATTTAACCTCGCCCGTCTCATTATCGGTCGCATCCATTTTCTAACGAAACACAAACAAAACAACAATGATTATTACACACGCCAGTAAAGCTCTAAAGCTCTATTGGCAATTATTCGAAGTCATATATGTTTATCTAATGGATAAACATCGATCACTGAAAATTGCCGCAAACAGGAAATTCATTTGCAAAACCATACAAAAAAAACAGAGCAATTAAAAGGTAATTTTGCCCCCACAAACACCCATCGTCACACTCATTCGTAGAAAAAACAAATTCAAGCACTCTCCTTTATGCATGTACTATTTTGCAAAACAAGACATTCTCGTTTGTGCACAATTAATTGCCAACCAAACACTTGGAATACTTGTATTGTTCTAAAAATAGTAACCAATTCTAAGAACCCCAGCGAAGGGATTGAAATTCGAAAGTAGACTTGTTGACTTCAGCTCGTATTTTTTCTTCTTTCTCGACCAAATTGCGTACGTAAATTAATACGCGTTCCTTTACGTATTGTGTGAGTTTTGATTCTTGATCGTCATTTTCAGTTTCAATTCACTTCACAACCATATGAACAAGCACACAAAATCGTTGTACAATTGTCTGTTGTTGCTGCTGCTGTTACTCTTCGTCTTGAAATAAACGTCTAATTTCCGAACGCATTTGATCGGAATGAATGTAGTAAAAGCAACGAGTGAATAGAATAATGTGGCGACATTTTCAGTTAATTAAAAAAAGGTCAAAGATTACAAAAACCTTAATGGGATATTTGGACTGTTTTATGTATTTATTCGACGATTTTTTTTTCTTCTTCTTCTTCTTCTTTCAATTGCACTTCTTTATATACATTTATTTATTTTTGTTCTTCATTTTAATTAAACATCTGATTTGTATTCCGGTGGTAAAATGGTCAATCGCATCCAAATCACAGTCGCTTAAAACATTTTCGGAACCATTGAATTCAACCGTATCACCAATGACCCCTTCTAGTGTGTGGAGTTCGGGCGGATTGAAAAATAAAACTGAAACAGTCATTGCATTGAGTAATGATGTTCAGAACAAAGGAACGGACGATGGTGATAAATAATCTTTGATAAACAAACGAACTACACAAACAATTGATCCACTCTACCAACTTTTATATCACACACGCACCATCTACACCAACACTTACACACTGTTTATAATCGACTATCCACCACGCAATAAATAAAGTAGATTGTTAAATTCGCAGTGGATTCCTTTTAGCTGAAGAAAGAAATGTCGTTGTTTTTATCAATTGTTTTACACTCAATAAATGATAATATTCAAAATATCCACGGAAAAATCTGCAAAACCGGAACAAAATCCAGAACACAAATCAACACTGACCATATGACCGCATAAACGCTTCAAAGCAAACTGATTTGCTAACGAATCACAGAGCGCTCACGCATTGTTCGTTTCACTGTGACGATCATCGTTCCATTGCTTTTTTTGGCATACGTGACTATGCCAATACGTATTAGTTAGTACCTAGAAGTGTGTCTTTCTTGTTGTCGTATGATCGTAAAACACCAGCATACGCCGCGCACACACTCATTCAAACAGACAATTTGAACAGAAGAAACGATGATCTAATTAGCAAACACGTGAAGCCGGTTCACCAAATGATCAACAGTACAATAAACACAGCCGTCTTCATTCTCGATCGATTTTTTTTGTCTTCTGAATTTATTCTTTGCATGGTGAAAAAAAAAATTGAATCAACTTCTTCCGGTTGGATTGTTTGAATTTAATTATAGCCCCTTTAGCGTGGTACCTTTTCTTTCATTGGCTTAAATTCATGTTCGCATACAACAATTTGTACATGAAGTAAAATTGCTGATGCGCAATTTCATAATTTAACAGATTTCTGTGAATTTCGTTGCTCTTACCTTGTTTTGCCTGCCAAACTGGCCTAGGTGAAAATATTTTAAGGGAAAAAAAACATTCGGTGACTGTTATATCCGAGTGACAGCTACCTTTTTTTCTCACCCGGTATGATCCAGCGGTTATTATTGACGTACATTGTACTTACATTCAGCTATTAGTTAGTCATCAGATAAATTACTAGCTTGCCTAGGGGGTAAAAACACAAGCGCTTGAGACGAATCCGTACGAATATATTTGTGAATTCGTGTGATTGTGTATACGAGACATTCGTAGCGCAGTGAATGTACAACAACAATAACAAAGCCACGAACGCATGAATATATGCGAATCTATGTGAATCTCACAACTTGTTTCTAGCCCCTAGTAGCTTGCTTACTAAATTAATATAGAATACAATCCGAGAGAGGAAAAAAATACCAACAAATGGAGAAAAATATGACAGTGCAAAAAAAATCCATCGAAATTTACATATTCAAAGGCGAAAAAAAGACAAAATTGTTTTGATTGGTTGGTTTCATAATAATTTAATCACTATAATCTGTTTCATCGATGCTTCTTTCGTTTTAAATTTGTACAATAAAATTTGCAAGAGAAAATTAGAACTAAATACAAACGAGATAGATTGGGGACGAAATATAGTAGGTAGTAGTACATTAATAAGGCGTTGAAATTAATAAACGAAAGAAGAAGAAAAATAAATGAATGAATAAATATCTCACGGTTGAAATGTAACGTTTCATTTTGCTTTTTCTCGCTCCTTTAAATGTTAAATGTTCAGAACGATTATAAATTAATTGCAATTAAATAATAATAAAAAAAAAATTTCATAATGTTAACCGATAAAATATGATCATTCACGTTTTAGCTAGAAAACTAAATAACAAATTGAATTATTTTAAACGAAACCAAAACAAACGTAGAAAAAAAAGGTTATTATGAAATTGTATAGACCAGACGGGATGCTGCGATTCGATAGAATAAATGTTTACTGAGAGCAGACTAGTTAGATTAAATCAAATGGAATAATGAATGAAAAATTATATCTGTCTAATAACTGAAATCCTTCCGCCGGAATGGAAGTTTCAAAGCAAAAAAAAACATCGAAAACCAACGCACTTCTTCATGTTTTTCACATCTTTTCCACATTTTTTTTTCTTTTTTCTCTTTTTCTTCTTTTAAATAAGTATAAATTGTAATTTTGCGTAATATTCAATGCATTCGAAATAATTTTTTTTTTGTTCAATTAAAAAGTTAGCCACGTACAATTAGGTGTTTATTTCTCCTCACAAACTAAAAGCTTATGCAACACACGCATCGTATAACAAACAAATCTCTAACTACGGATTCGTTTACTAATATAGTCTTAAATGTGGATTTAAATGGTTGTGTTATTTTTTTTTTATTCTCAAACAGTTATGCAATAAATCACTTTTTTTCAAAGTCTTTCACACCATCATCATATTCGCAAAATAAAAATCGGGCACAAAATCTTCTGCTTCGGTCGGTTTATGTGAAAAACAAATGTATGCGTGTATATGTGTGTGTGTGTGTATGTCTTTTCAAGCTTCTAAGTTGGTTTGCTTGATCAATATTGATCAATAAATTTGATTCATTTTAAATCTTATTTATAGATTTTTTTTGCTGAATGTTTTATGTGTTTCTTTTTTTTCTTTTGGTAAATATTTATATGTTAATAAATCAGCTACATACAATAAATATCAATCATTTGAGTTTTTTTTAATGCTAATAATTTATAGCCGATTTCATTGATCGATTGAATTATATGCGCATGGCGTTCACTATATTGATGCGAATACATCATGTATTTTAAAAATATGCCCTGGATCTGGGGGAGGATGGGGTTGTGTTTGGAGAAATATGGATATTCACATTTGGATCGTGATTTTCGGAGAATATCCATGTAGCGGATTGTATGAGTCCATACGTTTGTTCGGTTTTGTTTTTTTTCTTCAATTTTTTCTACGTTGTTCGCTTTCTTCACAAATTTCGGTTTTTTTCCCTTTCTTTTTTGGTTTCTTTATTGCCATTACAGTGCAATAGGTTTGATTTAAGATTGGTTAACTTGCCAAACAATTAGGTAACTTTTATCGCCTCGATTTTCAATCGTTTGGTTGGGCTCAAGCACAATGCTATTCTCCATGTCTCCATCGCCTGTAAACAGAATCAAATTTTGGGTTAATTGCGAATGCTTCGAAATGGAATTCGACGACAATTTTCTTGCAAATGAAAAGATGTGTTAATAATCTCAAATTCCAATATGTTGTTATTCATTGATTCCCACCACAAATGAAAAGAATAAAAAAAAACTCAACGTTCATTTCTACAAACTGTTTTCAACAGTTTACTCACTACGCATGCATATTTACATAAATGGTGCTCTCAAAAATAGGGTGCACATAAATTTTTTGCACTTTTTAAGAGGTATATCATGTGCAGTTATGTTCAGTTTACAAAATGCAAAACAATTCAAACGACAAGAAACATCTACTTTAATTTAACAGAAAAATTAATAAATGGTTACCTTTCGAAACGATAATTGTGATCAAACAACAACCAAACATGAACACTAAATTCTCAATCTCATTCTTGCCCATTTTTGCTTTGCATTTTCACGTTTTAACGTGCGATTGCGTTTGGAAATTTTGTTTTCGTGAACATCGAATCGAATAGAGTTTCGGTAGAGTTTAAATTTTTGGCTTTGTTTGATTCTTCTTTGTTTTTTTTAATGATTCGTTTGTTTTCGGTTCGTTTTTTTTTCAATGCAGTGGAAGCTTAATGAATTTTGGTTTAACGAAAATTGTGTTTTTTTGTCAGTATTTTTCAAATCACTATGTGGTTGGTGATGTTTGCCAAATAAGCAAATGTGTTGCCACGTCACACGCATCATCTGCATGCTCTTCTGAATGGTTTACAAAATGAAAATAAAATACAAAAACAAATTGTTTTGGTGAAACGATAATTAAATTGATAAATTAAAACCTAAGATGAAATAATCAACTTCCTACGTTACACACATTTTCAATTTTTGAATGATTTCTATATTGGGAATTGGAGTCTTATTTATTTTTAAATCAAAAAGAAATGGGAAAAGGCTCACAAAAATGAAGAATGATACAAAAAAAAATTGTTTTTTCATGTTATATACTCGATCGTTACATTAAAATGAATAGACAACGGTAGTGATTTGAGCATGTCCAATTGATCGAATAATGAAATAGACGAAATGCGCATATTTACCTAATCGAAAATCGATGTAACCTTCTCCACCGGACATCACAAGCATATGCGGCTTTTGGCCCATTTGAAACTCAGACTGCGATTGCATTGGCACCGAAACGAAAAATTTTACAGCATCACGATGGCCGTGGAACGATAACTGAGCATTAGCCATGCAGCACCGTGGTATAAAATTGTTGGTCGCAACTGGAAAGATAAAATTGATGACCGTCAATAAATCCAGTGGGAAAAAGTGAACGAAAAAAATAGCGGTGGAAAAACAGTACGAAAAATTACTTTTGTTGTTGTACTGCAGAGCTTCGGTAAGAGGTACGGATATGACGACACCATTTCCGGTGCCGATCCACAATCGATTACATGAAACCAGCAAAGCGGTGATACGCGCAAAAGAAAAACCCAATTTTCCCGTTCCGAGCATTTTCGAAACATATGGCTCAATGTCAACATCTTGCAAGTGCTCGTATGTATGAGCATGGTACAGCCGTAGTGTTGAGTCCAGTCTACAGGCCAAAACCAAGAGAAGAAAAACATTAATTTGATAACAAATTGAGAAGAAGGAGTTATTTAGGTGTTTACCGTATGGAAACCCATACACCGAGACCAGTGGCAGCCATTTGTCGTATTTGACTTTCTTTGCGTGGATGTGCCTCCAGAATGTACACAATATTCAATGAAATTGGGTCGACAATATAGATTTTGTTTCGATGGGCGGCCCATATTTTATCGGCCACAATGCACAAACAACGAACTGATTGTTTTGGTAGACCAAGAGTAACTAGATGATAGCTATTTAAATCCCATTGACCATCAGTTTGACGGCGGAACACAGCCAATTTTCCATTTGCTAAGGCAGCCACAACACGAGACTCCACGTGCACTATCGACAAAACGGCATCAGGTAGACATACCTATGAACGAGAGCAAATTGTTAATGAATATTGCGCTGAAATCGCGTTCTTTTCGATCGAGAAATAATATTTACTTGATGAAGACAATCTCTCCAGCGTGCAACGGAACTATGTACATATAACATTCCATTCTGAGCACCAAGCCACATGGTTGGTCCAACGGATGACATGGCCGGCTCTTCGAGGGGATTCGGTGAGCCAAGAATTGGATTGACTGGCTTTGGAAATGCTAATGAGTAGATATTTTGGTTGTTGTTCGCATTGTTGTTCAAATGCAGCGGTGAAACCGGTGGTGCATTAATCTCTTCAACGACCGCTGTGATCGCACCTTTGTTCAAATTCTCTGAGTCGAGCGCTATTTCCACTTCGTTTTTATCATTTTCCTCAACAACTGATGCAGTTAATTCGTCAGCAGTGCTCGTACCCGATGGTTGTGCCTCGCACACATTTTCATTTTGATCGCTTCTGGCCGCTTCGGTGGTGGTTGTCTCCGTTCGGGCAATACGAACAAATTCAATTCGACCCGTATCATCGGGATCTTCACCGGGTTTTTCCAGCATTTCACCTGACTTGATGGCCTCACTATTCTCCAATAGCGCGTAGTCTTTCTCAAGAGCACCTTGTACCGAGCAAATGCATAGTAAATGTGTTTGACACACCGGAAATGAGTCAAGCACAACGGCAGGATTTTTAGCATCGATCACAGTCACCGTGCTGGCCGAATGGGTGCTCGTACAAATCCACACGTACGAACTCAATTGCGAGTCTGGATCGGAATTCTCCATTGCCATCGTAATTTGTTTGTCAAGCGAATCGAGTTCGGCATTCTCGCCACCAGTTGGTGTGGTCACCTCCGTTATTTGAGCGGTTGTGTTTGTTGAATAAAACACGCTAGCACCGATCTATGGACAAATGGAAACAAAAATTTTAAACATAAGCTACGTGAAATGGGTTTTCCAAAGACGAATCTATTCTTACAATGCAACCACCATCCTTAGTATAACCGCCATTGAGATTCACGCCAGCAGCGCAAAATACTTTCATATGTGGACTAGCTTCTGCCAATGGTCGACAATAAACAGGTACTGGTACTTTTGGCACTGGACGAAAAGAGGAAATTGATACATTTGTTACAAAGGGACAATTCAATCTTGCGTTTTCTTAAGACATTCGGTCAAAGTATAAGAAAAATTTAAAATATTCGAAAAACTCTTACTTTTTCGATCAGTTCGTGGTGTTCCAGTTGTATTGGTTTTGGTGCCGGGCAATGACCAACCGTACGCATGTAAACGGCCATCCTCTTTCTGCACATGAGCACGAACCTGGCGATATTGTTCGCGACGTCGCTGATTCATACGATCTGAGGCACCCTCTTCAGCATATTCTTTGGAAAATGTTAATGCATTCGATGCATTGCCACCATGGGGTTGATTACCCGATGTAATAGCTAATCGCCCCTCGAACGAAGTAGGTACAACATGGTGGCTTGCTGCATTATACTGTAATAATGGTCCGGGAGGCTCTCTTTGTGGGCTGGTCGATGTCCTACAATACAAATGTACACATTTATATCCAGTGGTCGCAAATAGAAAAACCAAACTTGAATGATGCATTCAATAGAAATAACCACTCACAGTAGGAGTTTGTTAAAAAACTTTCTCCAAATGCTTTCCTTTGCCTTTGGATTCATATCAACGGTGCGTGATGCACGAATCATTTCCGTCCATCGTACAGCATCTTGAAGTTCCATGAACCGTTCTTTGTACTGAAAAATTCAAGAAAATTTCATTTTAAATCATAGAGCCATAATTTCTTTATTTCTCTTTCTTACTTGATTTCTTTCCATAAGAACACGCGCCATTTCGACTCGCGTAAAGCGTTTTCGCTGAGCCATTGGAACATCACCCTCATCTTCTTGATCGGAATTGCCTGGAAATAAAAGCAAATGTTTGAAGTCATTTAGTTTTTTTTTTCTGAACACATTTCTAAGAGCGCTTTCTTTTTCTCGTGATTCACTCCATTTTAATCACATTTCTTATCGTTATTTCAATTCTGTTTAAAAAAATTATTCTTAGCTTGTTTCACCAGTTTCCAAACGAATTATGATAACTCACTGTTTGCTTTAACTAATGTTTTGCTCTGTTTCAGTTCTTCTTCCAATTCGGACACTTTCTGTCGCAATTTTTGCCTTGACTGATTGGCTGTATTCAATTCTTCACGAAGAATTTCAATCTCACCCGCTAGTTCATCGACTTTCACAATCAAATCATCTTTGACAATGTTCAAAGCATTCCTAGATGAAGAGAGAAAACGGCGAATAACACAAACGTAAATTGTTTCGTTCAAAACTCAATGACGATATAGATTTGGACTGTGCGATTCGAATCAAGTACATACTTTGTTGCTAATAGTTCGGTGTTCTCGCTTATTAGATTTTCCACTTCTTTGCCCATGCCTGTAACATACAATCGATTCGTAAATCCAATTAGCCAAGGACATGCAAATGCATTTTACATAAGAGCATTTATTCACAATAAAACGATATATCATTTAAAGGACTTTTGTTATGAGAGAAATAGAGAGAGAGAGAGAGCAAGTTCAAAATGCATATGACAAAAACGTCAATGGATGGACTTACCAAAGAAGTTATCGTTAACTGATTGTGCGGTAGATTCGTTCGGCAAGCAAAAGAAATCAAAAAGAAAATTAAAGCGATTGGAAAAAAAAATCATTAATTTTTTTTGTTGAATTTAATATTATAAAAGGAAGAAATAAACATTAACAATGATAGGTACAAATAAACAGATATTGAGATTAAAAAGAAAATAATAAAAAATATTTTACAAATTGGCTAAATGATGATTCGATGTGATTCTATGTATGGATGATATTGTAATGAAAGCGGTTCTATTATCTTACCTGAGGATGCATATTCACCGGGATGAACCCAACTGCCTGATAACGGAAAAAATTTAAAATACGGTTAAATGGTAAGTGGTCTAGCATGGATCATGGGTATTTATGGTATAACTCGATTAATTTTCAAAAGCTAATGAGGTTTTATTTTATCGTCGACGTTCGTTCATATTCGATTTTGATCTACTTTGTTTACCTGTGACTTCATTTTCTTCGCTTTCTTCATTATCCTGGAATGACAGCTCCTGGTACAGTGTGTTTGCTGAACGCTTTTCATTTTTCGTTGTTGATCGGCCGGCGGATGGTGGTGGTTGAATTGGGCTTGGTTGATCACTTTGCGGTGACGTCGCCTGATTCATTTGCTTCAGTGTGTCCGTTTCGGCTGAACGTTCTACGGTTTGAATATTATCGAACTCATTTTGCAGTGATGGCGGTCCTGAACCAACTTCAGTAGTTTCAGAATTGGGTGCAAATTGTGCAAATAAATTGTGTGGAAGGGAAAATATGTTCATTTTGGGGATTTTTTTGTTTTTTTTTTTTGTTTTTTTTTCGGTGTTTTTGTGTGTGATTGAGAGATAATGTGGTGCTCACCTGAACTGGCATCACTTCCATTGGGGCTGCAAATGGTTTCAGTGTCCAGCATCTGTGATGTTTCAAGTGAGGCAAATCCATATGAAACCGGTCCCGACGAACGGTACATCGGATGAAGACGTGAACGATTCAGTTCCAAACGTTCCGAATTACTTGAGTTCAACTGCGAATGCGTCGATCCCATTAAGAGTTTCGTTCGCTCCATATAGTCGACATGCGTTTTGAACAGCTCCGTGTAACGATCGTGAAGTTTGGCATATTCCTATATTTTAATCAATTTATATTACACGGTTATGATTTTGCCTCTCGTCGTACTTTCACAACGCTTGCTTTTTCCCTTTCTTTCAACTTTCTTACCTTCTTCAAATCACCCTCTCGCTCTTCAAGTCGACTCGCATGCTCCAGACTATTCTTATGTTTCAGTTCCAGCATTCGTACGATACTTTCGAGCGATTCCAGTCGACTGGCCAGCTCTTTGTTCTCTGATTCGGCCAAATCTTCCGTATCCAGTAACTATCGAAACAACAACAACAACAACAAACCATTTCATTCAATCCACCCACTTTTCACCAAAATCAACTCATCATTACCTTTTGTTCGGCCTGTTTGCGTGCACTTTTTTCACGTTCATACTGAGTGACCAGCTGTTCATTATCCTCACGAAGTAGTTCGACCTCAACTTCTTGCTCTTGATTGGTTTGATACGCCGAGTCTAAACATTCAAGAACGTTGACCAGCAATGGCATCAGATTTTTCACCACCTCTTCATCGTACCGTTGAATCATACGCTCGAATTCCTGATAGATGCTGCCAGCCAACGATTGCACCTGTAACACACACAGAGAGAGAGAGAGAGAGAAAACGTTCAGAGATTCATTTGGATTAACATTTTAATTTAGAAAGTAAAATGTTTTGCCGTTTATTTCAACGTTTTGTTGCCAACCACCAAATATAAATAAAGACGAGATTATTGCAAAATTGAATGAAATGCAAGGCATACTGTCACACTTTGTAAACTTTGTAGAATGTAAATTGATTGAATTGACATTGACATTATAAAAATAAGAAAAAAACGGAAAAAAACTCTCGTCCGTCTGCTTCTCTCGCAACACACAATCAAGCTGTAAATGACCTTATTTCGCGTCAAACTGTGACCAACATATGATATGACACAAACGAAAAATGGTTTGCAATACCCCCAAAACAACGGTTTTGCGAGCGAAATGTTTTCCGTTCATAATTCCGCATTTTTAATTTGGATTGAATTTGATGAGGTGTAAAATTCAAAACCAATTATAACCATCAACACATGCTTTGTGTGTATCAACCAAAACAATCGGAAGACCCAAATAAAACAAGAAAATAATCGAAAATGTGACATTCTGAATACGATTTCCATTCGATATCGTGTTCTTCTCTCAGTCGCATTATCGGAGCATAAGGAGTGTTTTGAGTGGTGGTTGACTTTTTATTTTTCACGCTATTCGCATATTTGATTTTTCCTTCAGTCTGAATTTTGGGCCTTACCTTTTCGGACATGACCATTGTGTTGTCATCATGGGTGCCGTAAACGGTTTCAGTGCCAGGCTCGATACCAATATTTCCATCTTTATCCATATTTGATGACGAATCAAATGGACGGGTGATGATTCAAACAAATACACCACGATTGAATTGTAAGTTGGTTACAATATTTCTGTTTGTTTTCTTCTTCTTCTTCGATTTTTTTTCTCTGTCGATAATTGTAATGTTGGATAACGGCAAATACTGCCCTTTCCACACAATACTCTCTCGCCACAACTCAGTAAACTCCAAATTAACTTTCAATCGATTTTCACAAACAACGAGAGAGCGAGAGAGAGAATAAAAAAAAACAAATAATATTTAATTTTACAGTACACATCAGAAAAATCACTACACCAACACTGAATCGACGAATCACCAAAATCGATGCATTCTTGTGCTAAGATTGTTTACTGTTTCCTTCTGCCAGCCATATCCACAAAAATCACTGTATTTTTCATGGTTTCCTTTTTTAAAAAAATTTGCACAGATTCATTTGGCGACTAGAAAGTATGTACAGCACACACCAAAATAATCGCAAAATCGTAGATGTGTTTCCAACAACGGAATGAAAATATAAAAACGATATAGAGTCAAGTGAAGCAAGCAAGCCAACAAGCATACGTCGTATATTTTTCATCCGATTCTCTCATATCTCTTTCACTCACACTCTCTGCAGATTCATTCAGTTTGACGTTTTATATTTTCCGTCTATCGTCGTCGTAATTGTTATTTTTCTATTATAGTTGTATTGTTATTGGCTATGAAGTGGCTATCGCGCCCCAGAGTTTCCGATAGGGATTACATTGTGTTGTTGTTTTTGCGTTAGCAGCGCCACAAACCGAGCAATCAACTGTCGGATGCGATTGAAATATATAATAGGGCAAAAAATTGTGGAAAATTGATTTTTCCATTCGACTAAAAAATCCATTTTGCCCATTTTGTGTGGCAAAAAAGTGTCAATCTTTCGAGTTTATTCAATCAATCGTTTAAATTCTTAAGTATCGTAGTCCAAATGTCAGAATTGTAAAAAAAACCATTTCTTATTCGAATGCGTCGTGTCAAAGACGCAAACCGCATCACATGTGACCGTGCTATCATCGAACCTGTCGTTGTCGTTGTCGTTGTGGTTGACGGTATGCAGTGCTATTATTTGCCAATCTCTTTCGTTCTTTTTCTGTCAGTCAAACGTAAATAAACTTGAGCTGTAATAAACAGTCGAGCACTGTGCGCGCCATAACATACAACACAAAATCAATTCCAGTTCAGTCGATGATAGTAGCTGCAGTGTTTCGCTGTGCAGGTGGCAAAACGTGTGTGCGTAACCCAAAATATCGAGTGTAAAAATTCAAAGTGTTCGACGAAGTGCACGACACCAAACCAACAACAATAAATTAACAACAACAAAACAGCAAGACCAATTGAATCCACAAGAGCAACGAAAGGGAATAAAAAAACGTGGATTTTTTTCAAGTATTTGTTGTGATTCAAGTCCATATCATATAAGTCCAAGAGCGAATGAAAAGAAACAACGAAAAAAACACCAGCAACACACACACACACACACATTAAGTAATTCGGTTGAAATATACGTCGCTTGGACAGTTATTGCAAAACTTCTATTCGGAATATAGAAGGAAAAACATGCAGAACGGCGAAAATCAATGAAATAAAGAGAGCCCAACGTGCAAATTCACAGTTATTATACACACATTGTTCGTCGTTGTACACACTGCGATCGAACTGAGTTCAATCTTACGTTTGCATTTAACCAGACTTTTATTTTCGGTCGTTTTTCGCATTCGATTTGACCAAATTTGCCGAGGTGCTGTGATCCTATATAGATGTTGATTTTCATTTGGTCAACACACAACACAGAAAACAAGTTCGATTTGCCATTTTATTCTGTCATCATTACTGTTGCTGCTACTGCTGCTGCTGCTGCTGCTGTTATTTTGTAGCTGCTACACTTGAATCATTCCAAATTTTCATTTTTTTTGTTCGATTTTTTTTTACGTTGATTGTGCATCGCATCAATTGTTGTTACTTTTGTCTGCTGCGTTATCAGGTCCGTCGCTTACAGTCATCGTTGTCAGAACATTTGTCTGTGATTGTGTCTCAAAAATTCCTTAAGTTTAATTTTTTTTTCGTTAGTGTGTATGTATAATTTTGATCATAATAAATAAGAGTAACATTGAAAGTTAAAAGCAAAACAGACAAAGAAGAAAAAACACACAAAAACATTTGTTTGATTGAACGTTTTATTGGTTTGTTATCTGTCGCTGTCTTACCTCTTATCATCAATTTGCTAATTTTGGAGGGACGGAAAAACTTAGTTACACAAACTTTGCCGAACTAAGTTTCACAAACAATTTGAATGATCACAAAACGAGGCGTTCGGCACGAAAGGAGAGTATAAAATCGTATTTAAAACGGAAATAGCACATTGCGAATGTATTTGAATAATGGAAGATTCGGTTAAAGTTGTGAATGCATCCGCTGGTCATACAGACAACCATAAAGATGCTACTAATGGTGTGCATCAAACGGAAACGAGCGTTGAAAACTCGGAGATTCGAAACAGTGGTAGCATTCAATTAGTGGAAACATTTTATGTAACATCCAAGAAAAATACGGTTTATTATGTGAAACTAACGGAAAAAGGCCTAACGCTACGCAAAGAGACGAATGTATCGGCCAAAGAGCAAACGATCCTAATACAAGACATAATTGGATGTCGATGTTTGCGTAGCAAACGAAAGCGAAAGAATGCATCGTCTTGTACGTGTGCCGCATTGCCGGGCCCCACCGAACTGAAGGTGGTCGAAGAGAATTCACTCGATTTGGATGAGTCGGATGTGAGTGTTTATTTGTATATTTACGCATATATTTTGGAGAAAAATGGCCATCGTGAACGAACAACCATAACGTTACGGTTCCGTTCGTTCGATAATTATGAGCAAAACAATGAAGAGGCACAAAAATGGCGAACGGCAATCAAATATTTAATCCATCGTGATCCAAATGCTGAGCTTCCAACGCAAGTAAAACGTCTAACCATATCACCATTGAATGTGACACCGCCCGCTAAAACGGTGCCGGTGCCATCGTCTCCACTGCAACTGTATGTGCCGAAAGATATGCGTAAGGTGTTGATTTTGCTAAATCCAAAATCGGGATCGGGCAAAGGACGAGAAACATTCCAAAAGTATGTTGCACCAGTTTTCGTTGAAGCTGAAGTTCCATACGAATTACAAGTCACAAAATATGCCAATTATGCCCGCGAATTTGCACGTCGCTATGATATTTATGCCTGGAGATCGATTGTTGTGGTTGGCGGCGATGGAATCTACTACGAAGTCATTAACGGCCTTTTTGAACGTACCGATTGGGAGCGTGCCACCCAAACCGTTCCAATCGGTATAATCCCATGTGGTTCTGGTAATGGCCTAGCCAGAACCATTGCACATGTTTACAGGTAAGACTAAGCGCATACCTTTTCCTTCACCTTTTTTTTGGTTTTTTTGTTTTATCTTCTTTTTATTACACTCGTTAATTTCGCTTTTTATTTCGCTATGTAAACACAAAAATGTACAAATAATAGCGCCATTAACAGACTGACACGTCTAATTGCGTTATCAGTGCAGTCTTACGTTGAGCAGCCGAGTAGAACACGCATTTGTGTTTACGCCGCGTGTAGCGCGTGCGCACACACATAGCACAACCCAACCAAACCGAATCAAATTATTACTTACACAATGATCTCTGAACCGAACATTTCGAAAAAGTCACGGTCTTCATTCTCTGTATATCAACGCACTACTATCTCAAGTGTGAAGAGTGAAGAAAGAAAACCTTTATTTTTTCCCCTTCGGTTTGATGATATGTTTTATTCAGTATTATGAAGAAAAAAAATTGCGAAATAGTATAGAAAAACAGAAATTTACAGAAAAAAAGAGAGAAACAAAAAATGGTAACACATTTGGACTTTATCAATGCTGATATCGATCGCTAATCGTAAACAGCAATAAAGCAAACACACAATCGAAATGAAAACGGCTAATTTTTCTTGAGTGTTTACTAATTGTTATGGTGGCTCTGTTGCAACTAATTAAAATGTTGTATTGAATTCTCTTCGTTTTTCGCGTGTTTATTTTTGGTTTGATGCAAAATTCATGTTTTCACATTAATTAAATACGGTAATAATTCAATTGTAACGCCTGCCCAACAGAAATGTCGAAACATTCCAGTTTACATTTGATTAATAGCGGCGGCGACGTCGACGAAGGTGAGGTTGCTGCCGTTCTATTTTGCATTTGTTATGATGATTCCAATGCGAATTGCGACACACTTACGATCAACACCCCAAGTAAAGAACCCACCGAATCGATAGTATAATCTCTCTATCCGGTGTCATAAAAAAAATAGTAAATTAAAATGTCCCATATGAACTAATCGAAATTTCGTCCAATCATCTCTGCTGTGCTGTTCATTCATCAGTGTGGTTTTGCTATTTGTTTTGATTTACTACAATTTTAGCGACCGATTTCAAACTGTTTCTCATTCACTCTCCCTCTCTCTTTGTCTTTCTCAATTAATAGCGCACGATTCTATTTGCTAATATCATGCACAATACTCTTGAATTGGTATTTGTTATTCACGCTTCTTTGCCAATATGTCGATGAAAATAGCAAATGATTCAGTCGAATTGATTAGATTTGAATGGCAATCAGCGCTGTTTAGGTTTTATTGGGGGTCTCTTGGTTGTTGTTGTTGTTTTCCATCAGATGCATACAATTATTTAATCACTTTTTAAGCTTTTGGACGCTTGACGGATCAACTCAAAAAGAAGCCGTTTACGTAGGCAGATCGCGAAACGAGTTTTGCGTTGAATAAATTTTTTTTTTGTAAATCGAATAAATCTCGTTTCGCACACACAACACACGTTTTTAATAAACCAGTACATGTTTGTCGTCGTCATTGTCACCGCTTCCGTTGTTCAACCAAGAAAATCAAATTGAATGCGGGCTTTGTTCGAACGATCAAAGGTAACAGGTTAACTGCATCCAATGTAATCAGGCATGCACGCCATACAGATTTGGCGAACTAAAAAGCAATTCATTGACATTCTCAACGAAAATAACGACAAAATCGCGCGCGTAATTTGCGATTGGCTGACTCACTTGTTAATGTTGGATACTGGGTATAGATAGTTACTAGTGACTGTCCCCAAGTTCATACCATGTAGGAAATTTCAATTTAAACTGTAATTATCAACTTGACAATTACACGCGTGACAAAGCGAAAAACTAGAATGTATTCAAAATTTGATGAATTCTAAAGAAGTGAATATATATGGTCGTTGGTTTTCAGATGAACTATTATTAGTTTCTTTTTGTTTGAATTTGGCTTCTCAGAGTCTCCAACAATGGCCTTCTGGCTATAATGCTTTTATTATTTCTGCAAAACTCCATGGGTTGTGCTTTGAGCTATTCGAAATTATTAACGATCAAAAACGGTTGATCTGTCAAAAGCGTAGCTAAAGAAGAGAAACGGGACAGATAGTACTGAAGAAAAAGATTTACGCTTCTTTTTTTTTGTACATCGAGATGACTGTAGAGTGCAATCATCGGTGCATTCAAGTAACAAAAAAAAACATAATATCTATGTGTTCAACCTATCCGATTCGATTTGGGATTCCCAAGTCATTTTTTTGCCATGACACTGCCAATTCTATTTGTTTTCTCCGGTTCCGAGAAAAGCCAATTCCAATCGAATTTGCCTCAATTAAAAAATTGAATGGAACTGTGGAATAGACGAAATGAACGGGAATTCCTTAGATTGTAAAAACGACAGCATCAAAT